TCGTAGATGGGTACTGTGTGAGAGACACCATCTCCACTGTCAAAGACAATACCAGTGGTACGACCAGAAGCATACAGGGACAAGACAGCCTGGATAGCTACGTACATAGCAGGGCTGTTGAAGGTCTCGAACATGATCTAAAAATAAAATTGACAAATGATAAATGAATAAGAAAAATAATGCTATGACATCCTTATACACGATTACAACATATACAAACTACTTGTTCAAGAAATATTGATTTATGAAAATCATTTTATCAAACTTCAATTCCGAAACTAAAAACTGTCGATTTTTTTATCACTCGATTAATATTTCCTTCTGAAATGCTGACAAGCAAAGACTCGTCTATTTAATTATGAACGGAATTTTACTTGAATTTTTAATCTTTTCGTGATAACAGCTATAGCTAGGCTACGCTTGGTTTGATATTGTAATTATTAGGCGTTGTTACTGAAAAATAAAGTCTGACCATTCACGAATGAGATGCCCAAATAAGGTCAACTACTTTGCTAGAATACTGCAAATTAGCATTTTGATGCTTCACTGTCCGGTAATCACACGTGTTAAACAGTTATGATTTATGATATTTCAACGGAAGAAATCAACTCTTTATTTAAATGAAAAGTTTTAGAAAGAATTTGAAAGTTACTGAAGTGTTCTTCAAACTGTTGAATTTTAATTTTATCACCAATTGTAATTATTACGTAGGATCAAGGATTATCTGCCTTAGTTTCTAAAATAAATGCTGAAAATTTTTGTTTTTTTGATTTTTGTTTTAGTACTATAATTTGCGACGCTTCAAATAGGTATTTTGCAATGCTTTTTCTTCGGAGTTATGCCGGTATTTTGCAATAACATACCGGTCAGGAAAAACTTGAAAATTCTCTTACAAATATGTTCAAGGACTTAGAATAGTTCTCACTTACCTGTGTCATCTTTTCTCTGTTTGCTTTGGGGTTCAAAGGAGCTTCAGTCAGTAAAACTGGGTGTTCCTCGGGTGCTACACGGAGTTCATTGTAGAAGGTGTGGTGCCAAATCTATCGAATGAAAAAAAAGAAACTTTTAGTCAACAAACTACAACAAGTTGTGAAGCAAATGAGTTGAAATCTTACCTTTTCCATGTCATCCCAGTTAGTGACGATTC